ATAAAGAACGATTTTCTCGGCGCACATTTCATTTGCATAACGTCAAAATGAGCGGCAAAGAATGAAGGCGTCTATTTAGACGCGGGGACAAGAACTTGCTCGTTCATAGTTCTACTCCCATAACTGCGTCCACTCATTTGAATATAAAAAGTTAGATGTGAATGAACGCTTCTTCTCTGCCCTCTCGAAACCGCGTTGAAGAACATTTGGTAAAATATTTGAATGGATGTTACTAAATTTCGTTCAATGTACGTATTAGATCCAAATTTTTAATTTTTCTTTCAAATTTATAAAGTATCTAATTTTTTTTTTAATAATTGGAATTTTTCAAATTCGATTTTCGTGGATGAGAGATCGAGATGAGAAAATTAAGATCGGAAAAAGAGAGAAAGAGAGCAAAGTTAAAAGCGAAGCTTCTCGTTTTACTTTCTTCCCCTAACGGATTCGTTTCGTGACCCGTTTCAATCGCAATTACTCCGAATTCCCATCATCAGCCACCTTATTTAACTTTGTTTGAAGAATGCTTTTTTATAGTCGCATTTAATCACTGCACAGTGGCAAAGGTAATAGGTTTAGTTTTCGTGAGCATAGAATGTCGGGCATATTGCATCATAAAAAAAGTTGTAAAAGATCCCTTTCTCCAGTCGACCCGTATTTTTCCGTCCTTTTTTCCCCTGTTTCGATTCTAGAAACGTCTTTTCTTCCATTATTTTCCATTCCCTTTACTTTAAACGTTAATACCGTTTTATTTGCTTCGAAAAGCAAGCGACAAAAAAGCAAAAGAACCAAGATTCCGATCCTTCTAATTTTTCCATTTATCAAAGTGAAAAATTAAATTGTATCATTGTTACAAATGTGACGGTTACACCGAAAGTCACTAAACGACAAAAGTTTTACAGAAATGTATATCCGATTTGATTTACCCGAGAACTTATATTTTACTTGTTCTGTCCTGTTCTGGCTTTCCCTCGTGGGACGCTGTAAATTAATTTGCTTGATTACAGGAACATCTTGAAGTCTCGTAGCTATCCGAACTTCCTCCTTACCTTCTGCTTTAAAATTAATTTAATCTCGAATATGGAAACTAATCTGACTATCGTATAACCATCTCTCAGTTCCCCACACGTGTAACCATTTTCATCGCGATAAAATAATGATCAACCTCTGAAGAAAACTCTTTTCAAACTCTTTCTTTTCCAAACTTTTCAATGCTTGCGAACAAGAGAAAAATTTCATCAAAAACAAAACTCCAATCCCCTATTATTGTAATCCATCCGATCAACCCGTGCACTATTATCAAATCGAAGCCTCGACCATCTTTCCTTCTCCCAACGAAAATCAAAATACGAACGAAATTTTCATCGATGCAAAGGTATATATATATAAAAAAAAAGAAAAAACTCGATCTTCCTTGTGTGCAGCAAGCGCAAGAAGGCCAGCGTCGCGGTGATGTCGAAGGAGGGTACGGAGCGCGTCGCTGCGATCGCGGCGAAAAGTGGCGCCACGGACGGCGGGGACCCAGACCACGATCCGGGGCTTTCCCACAGTTGGATCTCGCGCATTCTGAGAGCTGCGCTGCCCTTCCAACTGGCCCTGGTCGCCCTCTTCTACGCGGCCAGCCTCCTCGAGCCCCATTGCTGCGAGGCGACCAACACTTTGAACCTCTCGCTCACCCCTCAACTGCGCTACGTAAGGGGGCCACCACCCGTCTGAACGTCGCGACGTCCGATCGTTTGTTGGAATAATTTTTGACGCGGCGTCCGCGCTCCATGGGATCTCCACGGAATACAATCGTTCCAATCATCGTAGAAACCTCCTCAGTCACCGAGCACACCTTGCTCCCCCTTCCTTACGTTCAATTACGTTTTGGTCATTGCGTTTTTCGTGAAATCGAGTTGATATGGATCGTTATAGAGTGTGTCGTTGTCGTATACGAGAGAGAGAGAGAGAAAGAGAGCGCATAATTTTTGGAAAATTCGCGGTACATTCGAGTATCGATACGCTGTCAACGAGCTTGTTCAAAGAATTGATCTAGAATCGCGAGAAATCATTGATTGGTAAACGTTTGACGCGGATGTGTTCGAAGATGTTTGAGATATATTTAGTTAGATATATTTTCGAATATATTTTTTAATATTTATATTCATACTTTTTTTTTTTTAAAGATGAGACTTAGATAAACTTGTTTTTTCACAGTAAAAGAATCGTTGGCACACTCGATTCTCGATCTCACTGCGCTTTTTCTTAATTTTACACTGCATATCCTTTTGTACTGCCATAATTGTTTCGAGTGTTCAATTTTCGAGTCAATTAATAATACGGAAGCTCAAACTTAAGAAACTATAATTTCGTCCATATATAAAACAATATCTAGTTTCTTTCAGAAATGCAACGAATTGCGCTCAAGCGGATGGAAAAATCTGCGCTCGTTTGAAATTGTGATATAAATTGAAAAAAAAAAGAAAAGAAAAAGTAAGTAGAATAAACGTATACAATCAGTGACTGAGGTAATAACTTTAGACAATGAGCGTTAGGTCAAAAAGGGAAAAAAGAAAAAGAATTATGAATAAGGAAGAATTTTTTTTATACGAATTTTTAGCAAGATGAAATATTTAAAAATCGTAGGAATCGTGTATGAGAACGAGAGGTAAGTATAGTTTCGTATACCTGCTCTTAGCCAAGTGCGAAATCGAGAATGAATGAGTGTTAAAGAGCCACGCAGACAATCTTTGAACCGTCGAATATAAACACGAATCGAAACCTCTTAGCATAATTTGCAAATTCTAGAAGAACGAAGAAAATCGACAAAACATAATAAACGATATATATATATATATATATATACATGAACGATTCAGAAAGATAAGGTTGACAGATATTTATAAAAGGAAAAACTTTATCTTCTATTTTCAAAGAATTTGCAACAGAGTCAATTATTGATGACGACGAACGAAATGAATTTTTAACTCGCATAATCGAGTATGAGGTTTTTTTTTAAAAACTGACCGGTGAGTCGGTGGCGCTTTTTGTTATATAGTATAAATATTTATTTATATATATATATATATGTTGCAAATTATATATATATACACATATACATATTATTGTTTGTAATTTAATATTGATCGAGAAAGAAAATATTTTATAGCGTTGTATGAAGGATTGAAAAACAAAGAGGAAGCAACGTTCTATGTATGAACGCTTTCATAGGATTGACTGTCATGCATGTTAAATGACAGTAATATCATCGTTTTATTGTTTTCAACAATTTTTGTTTTTTTTTCTTTTTTAGTTTGTTTTTATATATAGAGGATGACTGCTTTTAAGAGAGCAGTTGGTAGCATTTTGACTGACGATCGAATGCTACCGTGGAGAAACTTCCTTTGCTAAAATTCTCAAAGATGGTCTTAATTAATAATTGCATAATATAGAGAATCGAAGATAAAGAAGAGAAAAGAGAATTTCTCTTTAAAGATTTCAAATCTGTTTATCAATGAAACAGAGTATCAATAATAATAATAATAATAATAATAATAATAATAATAATAATAATAATAATAGTATAAGTTGATATTCGAACTTACGACACTCAGAATTATAGCAAACGAATTTTCTTCTAAACGCGTTATTATTTTCGGATTCTCTTTTTGATCGTTCTAATAAAAAAGAAAAAAAAAAAAGAAATAGAAGATCTAAAGTGTCTTCGAAATTCCACTCGAAGAAATTGAATCGACAAAAAGAGATTTGAGCTGTTATAAACACAGGTTTCTGGAATTCTAATGAAACTAATCAGGTCCTGTGATAATTTCAGCGATACGAGCAGTTACCAGATGGTACTGACGTGAAATATAAAATTATCTTGCTTCTTCGAAGAACATCCCATATATATGTATCAAAGAACAAGATACGTTATTTTCTTTGAAGTTTCATAGAATTTGACGGTTTTATCCGCAAATTTTCTTAACATCGATCATCGATCGATACACCTACGAAAATTCACAAGGGTCGATCGAATAATAACAATCTCATGGCAGACGAGTTTGATTAAAAAAAAAAACCTTATCCACTGATCGTGGACGAAGGAAAATACATTGAAAGGGTTGAAAACGAATAGAAACACGCCCTTGAATAACATGACTCGCTTGATATCGCGATCATGCAGTGAATCTGGAGCAAAAATGATGCATGCTCCAGATAAATAAAAAAGAAGAATGTGAGAGAATTGTGAGAGACGATGATGATAAATGAAGACGTGTGAAAATATACGTGTGATACATAACGAAGATGAATAATCCTCAAGATGGAGGATGACTAAGAAAGAATGTACTGATAAATATAAATACTGCAAATGGGATTTTAGGAATGACGTTGCTTCTTCAATTGAGAGCATTGTCTTATTGGATTTAATTAACGATTTCAAGGTGATTTACTCGATTCTAACGAAATGATAACAGAGTATGATTAAGGAAACAGGAATAGGTGGGTTTTTATATTAATATATGCTTCTAATTGTCGCTTAAAGGATTTTTTTTTTTTTTTTTTTTTTTCACT